GCCGCACTAGCAGGAAACTGTGGGGAGTGCAGTTCACTCGAGACTTGGTCCCACAGCACCTGGCTGCAGGATGGTGGCTACCAGCCCAGATGTGTGATGGAAAGCCTGGTTCCCTGCCCTGCCCCAGCCAGGTGGGGGCTGCAGGTGTGTCAGCCTGAACTCAGCCCAAGGGTGGGTGCAGCCAGATGTCAAACTCTCAAAATAGCATCCTGGCCCTGCAACCTGAAAAGCTGCCCCCCCACCCCCAGGCAAGCAGCATGGGCAAGAAACTGTGGAAAATGCCGTCCACTCGTGTCTTGGTCTCAACTGCAGCCCACAGAAGAGGAGGTGGGGAGCTTCCCACTGTTCATAGGAGTACCTGGGCTCCTCTCGTCCTCCTCGGAGCTGTGCTGTGGCTGCAGTTGCACCCACCTTTATCTAGGCTCTCAGAATGGTGCCCAGCTCAAGCTACTCTAAGCTCGGATGCCTTTGAGATTCCATGTGAGTTCCCTTTTTGGAGTGACATCTCTGTGCAATCTCCGACAGCTCCCTATGTTGGGCCTGAGACCTGTGTGGGTCGGGGCATTTTCTGGCAGCCAAGATCTAGGAGATTGGAGTCATGGGGCTTTCCCTCTTATTGATTCCCCACATGCAGCAGTTTCTCCTGGCTGTCAGCCAGTCCCTGGCTAGCCAAGTTGCCCTTAATCCTCTCCTTACCCATTTTTGGTGCTTCTGGTCACTGCCCTGGGGAATCCTTTCATTCTCTCCTAGATAATCTGTTCAAAATGTGAGAATCTGTTTACTATTCTGTTTCTTCTATGGAGAGGAAGGAGGCACATATCACCTGTCCCTATTTGACCATCTTGATCCTAACTCTTCCAGAATTTTATTGAATGCTTTTTGTCCATCTATTGAAATGGTCATTTGGCTTTTGTCCTTGATTTTGTTAACATGATATACTATATTTACTGATTTGTGTATGTTGAATCATCTTTGCATCCCCGAAATCAATCCCACTTGATCATGGTGAATGATCTTTGTAAAGTGTTGTTGAATTTGATATGTTAGTATTTTGCTGAGAATTTTTGCATCTGTGTTCATTGTGGTATTGGTGTGTAGTTTTCTTTTCTTTTCTTCTGTGTCCTTTCCTGGTTTTGGTAACAGGGTAATGTTAACAGCATAGAATAATTTTGAAAGCATCCCTTCCTCTTCTATTGTTTGAAAGAATTTTAAAGGAATTGGCATTCTTTGTTTTTTAACTGTTTGGTAGAATTTATTAGCAAAGCTATTGGTTCCTGGGCTCTTCTTTATTATTACTTCAATTTCATTACCCATTGGTTTGTTCATGTTTCCTATTTCTTCATGGTAGAATCTCGGTAGGTTGTATGTGTCTAGTAACTTATCTATTTCTTCTAGATTGTCCATTTTGATGCCATGTAGTTGTTCATAATATTCTCTTATGATCCTTTGTATTTCTGTGGCAACAGTTGTAATGTCTCTCTCCTTCTTGAGCCCTGATTTTATTTGAATATTTTCTCTTTTTCATTTGTCTAGCTAAAGGTTTGCTAATTTTTAAAATCTTTTCCCCTAAAACCAATCCTTTGCTTCATTCGTTGGTATTGTTTTTTAATCACTATTTCATTTGTTTCTTAACTGATCTTTGTCATTTCTTCCTTCTGCTAATTTGGGTTTAGTTTATTCTTGTTTTGCTAGTTCCTTGAGGTATAATATTGGGTTGTTTATTTGAGATCTTTTCACTTTTTTGATATAGACATTTAATGCTATGAAACATTCTTAAAACTGATTTTGCTGTGTCCCATAAGTTTTGATATGTTGTTTCCATTTTCATTTGTCACACGAAATTTTTTAATATTGTTTTTAACAGCTTCATTGACCCAGTTGATCATTCAGGAGCATGTTGTTTAATTTCTATGTATTTGTATAGTTTCTAATATTCTTTCTGTTATTGATTTATAGTTTTGTGTTATTGTGATAAAAAAGACACTTAATAAGCTTTCAATTTTTAAAAATTTGTTAAAACTTGTTTTGTGACCTAATATATGGTCTATTATGGAGAATTCTCCATGTGCTCTTGAGAAGAAAGCACACTCTGCAGATGTTGGATGGAATGTTTTGTAAATGTCTGTTAGGTCCATTTGGTCCAGAGTACCGTTAGCTCCAGCATTTCTTTGCTGATTTTCTGGCTGGATGATCTCTCCATTGCTGAAAGTGAAGTGTTGAAGTTTCTTATTATTGTCGTATTGTAGTCAATCTCTTCCTTTAGATCTACTAATATTTGCCTTCTACATTTGGGTATCTGGTGTTGAGTGTATACATCTATATTCACTATTGATTCTTCCCATTGCTGTGTTTTTTGCCATTATATAATAGCCTTTTTTTTTTTTACCAGCCTTATCATAAAGTCTATTGTATCTGATGTAAGTATAGCTACTCCTACTATTTTTGATTTCACTTAACATGAAATATCTTTTCCCATTCTTTCCCTTTCTCTGTAGGCATGTCTTTTTAGGTGAAATGAGTTTCTTATAGGCAGTATACAGTTGGGTCTGGCTTTTCTTTTTTAATCCATTTAGCCACTCTGTGTCTTTATATTGGATAATTTAATTTAATTACATTCAGGGTTATAATTGATAAGTAAAGGATCAGGCCTGCCATTTTGTTATTTGTTCTCTGGTTGTTTTGTAGAAACTTTCTTCCTTTTTTTCTATCTTACTGTATTTCTTTGTGGATAAATAATTTTCTCTAGTACTATGCTTTGATTCAGTGCTATTTAACTTTAGTGTATCTATTATATGTTTTTGCTTTGTGGTTACCATGAGGCTTATAAATACATCTTATAGTTATAACAGGTTTTTATAAACTGATACTAACTTTACTTTGATTACAAAGCAAAGAAAATAAATAAAAACAAAATCTACACCTTAACATATCCCCTACATTTTGATGTTTTAATTTTTGTCTTTTGTTGCCTATCTCTTAGCCAATAGTTTTATTTTTTTCTTACATCCTCAATATTCATCTTAGAATGAGCCAATTGTTTCAGTCTTATTGTCTTTAATAGTTTTGTCTTTTAATCTTTGTACTAAATATATGAGTGGTTTGTATACCACATATCACAGTTATCACATTAGAGTACTCTGAATTTTTCTGTATACTTCTCATTTTTATCAGTGAGTTTTATGTCTTTCTATGTAAGTTTCTTGTTACACATTAGTGGTTTTTTTTTTTTTATTTCAGAGTTAAGAATTCCTTTAGCATTTCTTGTAAGACATATCGGGTGTTGATGAATTTCTTTAGCTTTTGCTTGTCTGGGAAAGTCTTTATCTCACCTTCATGTTTGAAGGAACCTTTGCTGGAGACAATATTTTCAATTGACAGTTTTTCTTTTCCTTCAGCATTTTGAATATATCATCCTTCCCTCCCTGGCCTGTAATGTTTCTCCTGCGAAACACAGTGAAACCCATACTGGGGCACTGTTGAAGGTGAACACATAGAGAAGCCTGACTTGGAAATGTCATGATTCTGAGGATTAAAAAGAAAAATAGACTCAACATGAGTATGAGGAAGACCACACAGTACACGGTGCGGGGGGTAGGGATGCTCCAGGTGGGTGAGGAGTGAGCGTCGGGGTGGGGGGGACCCGGGGGGGGCAGCCTGGAGAGTGGAGGGAGGGAGTGAGAACCTGTCCTCAGTGCCCTGAGCTGGGCCCGTATCCTGGGCCCCTGCCCGCCCTCTCCCCAGAGCCCCTCTCTGCAGGAATTCCCTGTGCTCCTGCCCTCCATCTGCGGTTCCTCCCGCACAGACACGGGTGCATGTGGTCATCTCAGCGTGAGCATGACCCTCGGATTCTGCACGTAGCTGTCAGCCTCGGTGGCAGCTCTGAGCCTCCTTTACTCCTTCCACAAGGCTGTGGGCCAGGCCCAGACACGGGGGAGAAGTGACTAATGTGCAAGCTCCAAATGTCCCCTCAGCAGAGATTAGGAAAGGAGTTGTCAGTGCGGAAGAATTCCTGACCCAAGCGAGCAACTGTGCAGTTAGCTCAGCACTTTGACTGCATGACGACAATGCGTCCCCCAAACAACAAGCCTTTGTGAGAGGGTGGGCGAAGCATTACCCATTTGAAGTGGACAACTGAGGCACAGAGGGCTCGGGCAGGAGAAGGTGCAGGATTGGCTGGTGGCAGAGCAGGGATGGTGCTCAGGTCTCCAAGGCCAGGACCCCCCTCCCCCAGCTCATGGCAATGGTCTGCACTGGGACCTTCTCAGCCATCGTCCTTGCACGGTCAGAGGTCAGCAGAGGCTGCACCTGTGTCCAGCTGTGCCCAGGAGAAAAAGACCTGGTGTGGATGCATGGTGTTGTTTGAGTCCAACCCCCTCCTCTGTCCCTGCCTCCTCCTAGCAGTGTGGGTGTCCTAGGACTATCTCCCAGCTTTGCCGATACAAGTGTCTGACCCCGTGGCTGACTCCAATGACATAAGCTACTTGTCTTTCTCCAGTTCCTGTCCCCAGGCGGCGGTGCCAGTGGAGCAGATCCAGAAATGTGACAGGCCACTGACACCCAAGCTCAGCTGTCACCCCTGGGCCAGACCCTCGGCCCTCAGCAGGTAACCCTCAGGCTGGGTTGTGGAGCCCATACCTGGAGCCCTGCAGCTGGGACTTCTGTGCACACATAGCACGTGCTCTTGGCAACTCATCCTTAGTCCCTGTCCTTTCTTGTCTCTGTCCCTGCCCCCCACCCCAACTGGTGTGTCCAGGGACCACCTTCCCCTGACACCTGTTGTAGTTTGTGCTCTTCTCAGGGTTGGTGACTATGGCCTCCACATAAATCCCCCCTCTTGACCCCTGAGTGGCTCGTGTCCGGGGACCCCTCCCTCCCACTGCTGGTCCTCCCCAGCCCCCCACCCATTGGCTCTTCTTCCCCCTGCACAGGAGAGGATTTTAGCAGCTTTGCCTGGAGGAGGCGAGGCCACGTGTGGGAGGGACAGGCTGTGATGGCAGAGATGAGGACCAGAGGGAGGAGCTTGTGCCTCAGCAGATGAGCATAAGGGCAGGACCTGAGCCTGGTAGCTCCTGGGAGAGCCGGGCTGGGAAGGGGAAAGTCAGGGGGTGTCCAGACACCAGCACCATGTCGTATCTGCCACAGGCGAGGGCTCAGCCTTGGGTGCTGCTGCTGCTTCTCTCAGGCTTGCAGACCCTTGTGATCCAGGACTCAAATTGCCGGCTGCATGAGAATTGGATGGATCAAGAAGACATTGCAGTTTACCTCCCGCGCACCGTGGAGTTCGCCTTGCACACGTTCAACAAGCAAAGCAGGGACCTGTTTGCCTACAGGCTTTTGAGCACCCTGAACTCCAGGAAGGACAAGGTTTGTGACCACACCCTCTCCTCTCCCGTACGTGACACTAAGGGAGGGACAGGGATGGGCATTTTATCAAGGACTCTTGGTTCACAATTTGCACGCTATAATTGGGCAAAATACAAAGTAATTCTATGAGTTTCTGATTTTGAAAACATTTAACTTAGAAATTTTAGAAAGATTCAAAATCAACTCACATCCGAGATATGCTTTTCAATCTTCATGATTATTATGACTTTGATTAACTAAAGAATGACTTCAAAATAGGGACTACTGCGGACATAAAGGAACACAGTAAGGAAAAGAGCCAGGAAGAATATATCCACTGAGAGAGACTGAAAAAATATTTCAACAACACAAGTTAAAAAAAAAATTAGAAAGAGACTAAGAGAGGGAGAGAAAGAGAGAGCAAAAGGAAAAGAGAGAGAGAGACCAAGGGTTCAGGGGCAACGAGGAGCTGCCGTCGTCCTGAGCCCGCTGTCTGGCCGGTCCCTCTCCTCTGATTCCACCTGCTCTGGGCTCCGGGGCGTGTCTGCACTTGGTGGCGGGAACGAGGTTCACACTCCTCCTCAGACCACTGCTCTGAGTCCTGGATGGTCCCCGCTGGGTGGACGCCCCCCAGAGCGCAGTGAGGAACACACAGGCCAGCGGGCTGCAGGCCACACAGGACATGCTCTCCTGAGGGAGCACTTCCGGTTTGGATGGAGAGGGGGGACATCGCTCTTTCTGCCTGGGCACCAAGGTCCTGCAAGAAGGACTAAGGGCCCCACCCCGCACAGAGCTTCAGCCTCTGAGGAAACCCTGCAGCGCCCTGGCAGGGTCTGCTGCCCCGGGCTCTCTGGGCTGGAGCCTCCCACGTGGGCTCCTGGCCTGGCAGTCCCAGTCAGCTTGGGGGTTGGGGATGGGTGGACGGGAGGCAGGGGTGGGATGGGATGGGATGGAGCAGGAAGGAGAGCAGAGAGAAATTCAGACTTTGTGTCTTGCAGCCCTGGCTCCCATGCTGCGTGCTGTGCAGCGGAGCACTGGGTGGCGCTGTGCTTGCTGGAGGCCCAGGGAGAGGTCTGACCACATGCTGTAGATGAGGCTCCCTCTCTGGGGGCTGAGACCATCCTGAAAGCTCTTGGAGAACCAGCGGCCGCCCAGGCACCTGGCGTCTGTCCTCTGGGAAGGCAGCTGTGGGAGCAGGAGCCCCCTGAGAGGGGAGCCGGGTCTCAGGGTGGCAGAGTGGGGGCGTGGGCGGCAGCTGGGGGATGCGGTAACGGGGCTGACTCGGTGTGTCCCCCCAGGGATCCACCACGACCTCCTGCTCTTTGCTCTTAACTCCCCAATCTGGAGAAGGTCCCTGCGGTTTTACCTCCAGTGAGCTGATGCCAGGCCCTTGGCGAGCCTCCAGATGGAGCCCAGTGTTAGTCCCTGTCCCTACACCGATGGCGTCCTCATTGCCAGCTATTTAGGGGCATCAAGAAGGGAGTGTCCACTTTAACCTCTTTACGTACCGCAGGACAGTTCCAAGATAGTGTTCTCCATGAACCTGCTGTTGGGCCGAACCATTTGTGGGAAATTTGAGGAAGACATTGACAACTGCCCCTTTCAGCAAAGCTCAAGGCTGAACAACGTAAGAGGACACCGGCTTGCCCCATTCATGCAGAGGTGGAGGCTGCTTGGGGGCAGGGTGGGGGGTCAGGAGCAGCTGACAAAGCTTTCCTGGGAAGCAGAAGGGGAGCCCCGGCAGGCTCTGCCAGGCTACTCTGCTGTGCTTTAGTGTGCAGCAGCTCAGGCGTCCACTAGCTGTCCCCGGCCAGTCTGAGTTTCCCAACTGTGTCCCCTCACACCACTGCAGGTGCATGCACCTAGTCACACGGCTTTCAGACTACTCTTGTCCCTCTGCCATCCCAGTGTCCTGGGCCTGTGTAAATGATGTTTTCTTTCTGGTCTTCATACCCACCCGCTTCCCTGCCTGCAGGACAAAGAGCCAGGCAGGGCCCAGCACTGCCTTTGCCTGCATGGGAAGCTCTCAGGGATCCCCACTCTCACTTGGAGCCTGAGGAGGGGCCCCACTGTCCCCCCCTTTCCCTGGCATGGTCCTGCTGAGCTGCAGTCCTGCTGTAGGGGACGAGGCCGAGGTGAAGCCTAGTTCTGGGGATGGCCCACCTAGGATCAGTGGTACTTTTATCAAAGGGTCAACTAATGGGTTAATAACGACTTAAATCAGAGAGTACGTCCTGGTGGGTCAGAGTGTCTTATGGTGCTCTTGTGGCTATGACACCCAGAGGGACAGCCTGTGAATTCCCCAGGAGGCCACTGTCTGAAATGGGGGACCCGACATAGGTGGCCTTGGGTAAAGAGGGAGCCCCAGATCTGGAAGCAGTTAAGCAATGTCCCAGGGGTAAGTTTGGGTGGCTGTACCTGAGGAACAGAGCCACTTCTTTCAATTGCTATCTCCAGAATGAGCGAGGTTGAGATGAGCTCGGAGCACGAGCCAAGAGCTTCCCAAGGCTGCTGCACTCACGGACCTGCCTGTGCTTGTTCCCCCAGACCCTCAGCTGCTTCTTCACCATCAGCTCCCAGCCCTGGCTAACACGGTTCGAGCTCCTGAACAAGACCTGCTCTGTGGGGCTCCCCTGAGTGGGACGCAGCCACATGCCTGGCCACGTGCTGCCCTCTCCTTCCGCGGACTCCGGCAGTGTCAGTGGCGGGTGGAGCAGCCCCACGCTTGTTTGTCCTCCTGCTGTGCATGTGTGTTGGGTTTCATGACTGGGCTTGTGGAGCCTATCAATGGAGAATCCACATTTCTCCAGGTACATAGTGTAGAATAAGCCATTAAACATCAGCATTTTAACAGGCTTTGTGTGCCATGCTCTGGAGAGAGGGGCTGGGCAGTGGATGGAGCCACTCTCAGTGGGACAGCCTGGTGGGACTGTGGGTGGTGGGGTCGTTCCCTCATCTTGGGCCTCCTGATGTGGTTCCAAGTGGCACAGTTAAGCTGTGTCTGAGAAGCTGCCTCTGGCTCATGTGGGGTCCAGAGGTGCAGTGGCTGTGTCCTCACAGGACTTCGATGAGCACAATGCAGCCCTGACCAGGACTCAGGGCTGCACCGAGCATAGACGGAATTTTCACTAATCGCCAGGGGAATCATCTGCTATTAAGGTTGAAAAAAAACGGAAGAACGGCAACCAATGAAAACCCGGCCCAAACCCCCAAAACAAGGGTCCGCAAAAGGTCCCCGGAAAAAACAAAAAACAAACATTTGGGCCTCTGTGAGCCCTATGGTCTCTTTCCCAACTACCCAACATTCCCTTTGCATGTTGCACACAGCCACAGCTGATGTGTAAACAACTAAGTGGTCACGTGTCAATAAGACCTTTTCACACTAGCAGGCGGCAGGCTGCATTTGGCCCTCGGACCATAGTTGCCAACCCCGACCTCAGAGCCCGCTGGGTGTAGCTGCGGCAGGTGTCCCGAGCCCCAGCATGCCCGCAGCTCCCGACACAAGCGCCTGAGCCTGCCCCAGCTCGGCTCGGGGCTTCCGCTGCGTCCCTGGAGCTCCTTCAGCAGGGCAGGTGCACCCCCCAGGTGTGGGGGAGGCCAGGCCTGAGGGTCACACTCCATCCTCAGGAGGGGGGCAGGTGAGTGTCCCAGTCTCCCAGCCCCAGGGCACCCGACTCAGAGGACAGCACCTCAGGTTCCCTAAGCTTCACCTGCACGATGAACCCAGTGGCCCGCAGTGTGACCCACTGAGAACAGACATGTGGATAACAGGAAAGTTGATTTCTTCCCCCTTTCTCACTTGTGTCTCCTGGTTCATCTCCAGATAAACCACCCGCGCTCATCAGTCCGTGTGGGCTCAGCTTAAGGGGAGTCTGGTCAAGACACGTGCTGTGTTTGGCCCGTCCCCTTGGAACGTGTCCTGCACAGAGACAGCCGGGAGGGTGAGCCCCAGACGGTGATTCCAGGCAAAGCCAGGGGAGAGCCAGGCCCCGGGGTCTCCCTGCAGGCCCCCAGTGCTGAGGTGGGGACAGCTGCTGCTCTTTGTCCCTGTCTGGACTCTGGAGCCCTCAAGGCCCTGCCCTGCCCTGCCCAGACACGAATAGGTTTTTGTTTTCGACCCCCCATCCCCTCTCCTGTGTGCTCCACCCTCGGCCTTTCCTTGCCCAGGACTCAGTCAGCGGGAAGAAGCTCAGAGGGCCCTCTATCCACTGTGGTTCCAACACGTGTTGTCCAGAGAGTCACTCCGCTCATTCCACTCGAGCACCATACCCGAGGCGGCTCTCGGGACAGGGTCCCATGGGGTTCAGCCCACCGGGGAGTCCTGGGTCAGGACTCTGTGGGAGCAGAGCCGTGCCTCCCGGAGTGAGGGAGAGTTACCCACTGCAAGGCACCGGGCCTGGCAGGGTGCCCTGACGCCTGCCTGACTCAGAGTGCTCGTGTGGGGCTTTGTCAGTTCTCCGCACCCCAGAAGGGGTCTCCATGGAGTCCAGGATTCGTCTTGCCCCCGGATGTTTCTCCAGGGTCCAGAGTAGCATGTGGCATGGGTCGGGTGCTTGAGGTTGGTTTACGCACAGGGCTAGCATTAAGGTGTCTGCTCTTTTGGGAGGACCTCTCCTCCCATAAACCAACCATCTAGTCCTGCTCCTGGAGGTGGCCTCCTGGTCACCTCTCTCATCTCTGGATCAGGGAATTGTGGCCCTGGATGCTGCATGTGGTCAGGAGGTGGGCCCCTGGGCAAAACCTGGGCCAGAGGCTGGGGCGGGAGACTTGCTGGGAACGCCTGGTCAGTAGCATCCATGGGTCCCCACCCCAGGGAAAAAGCAAGGCACAGATTGTATTACAGTGTCACGAAGTCCCTCACTCTCCAGAAATATGAATTCTTATATTTCAACTCTGCACCTTTTTAGCTCCTATCCTCTCGTTCTCTGTCTCTGCATCATTGATGTGGTGATGAGAATGTCTGCTTGGCTGTCCTCAAACGGCTGCAACTGAAATCAAATGAGGCAGTAAAAGAAAACAGTAAATCAAATCTCTATACGCACTCCTTTTTTTCTGCACTTGGCCACTTCCGTATCTGCTAGGGGCACATGTGGCCGTTTCTTCATTTTTCCTAGAGGATCAGCACTGGGACACAGCCCTGGGCACATGGAATATAAAAGTGAACACAAAGTAACAAGGACAAAGAGGTTGTGGGGAGGTCTTTGGAAACTCCCCGAGCCTCTCTCCTTGAGGCAGAGGAAGGACAGGTGGGGTTGACCTAGGGAGGAGGAAGGCTGTCAGGATACACATGGTGAGACCACATCCCAGCTGTCAGGAGTCCTGGCCCTGCATCTTGTCTCAGGACAACTGCCATCTATTCCCAGAGGAGAACAAGGATATCTGGGTGATAACATTGGAAACATGAATGGGTAGAATCCAGTAGAATTGAAATTTTATAATACATAAAGTTTAAGATGAGTTTGAAGAATATAATAAGAGCCATCTGCCTGCACCCAGATTGGCAGGGGCATCAAGGATGGGTGAGCAGGTACATGGCAGTTGTAGGAAGAGAGTGAGGGGGCTTCGGACTTCTCAGGGGATTAACTAAATGCTTAACTTCTGGACTAGCCAAGATAGACAGGAATTCATCAGGAGCATAGGACTCAAAAACCCAATTCTCAAGATCAATTATAGAAATGTTCAAACAAAAACTTTAGAGAAAATAAATTTAGAGTTTCTTGGTCAAAGAACAATTCACAAATTGTGCATCACTCAAAACTGGAATAGGTTTAGAGAGTTCTGTTCTAGCAGCATGAGCAGTGAACTTTTATAAGCTGAAGACAGGAGCAAAATACAGAATTTAATTGATTTGCTAAGAGCTGGGCATTTGCTTTGTTTGCAGGGGGGCAGGGGGGGAGGGGTGTGATGGGAAGTCCTCCACTTTTGCCTCATTTCCGTATACTGTATTGGGAGGTCCCTAGTTAATATAACCAATTTGCTGGTTGGCTGTTGTGACCATCCAAGGCTAGATTTGTTTTTAAATGTCAGCTCCAAGTAAGTATAGGTTTGCTTGCATAAGAGCTACATGCAGAGACAACCTCAATCTAATGGTCTTCTTATTTGCTTTATCGATTCCCCTTTGTGGTCAACCTCTTGATCTCTACTCTATCACCATTATAATGGACTTAGCTGGTCTCAGAAAGGAATTCATAAGTCAAGATATCAGGCTAGCTGAAAGATTCTTTTCATTGTTACTCATGTTTTTGTCACTCTCACTGGAGTGAGGCCATTAGACAGAGTAGATGGCTGCACACAGCATTTAAGACCCTTGAGAGGTACAGTGCACCACGGAGACTACTCTGATGACAGGAGGGTAATCCCAATAGACTGAAATATGCTCCATAACCAATGCTGCCATGAACCAAATCAATTAAAGTAAATGAAAGAATGAGCCAAAAGAGGCATCTACTTGTTCTAACCAAATGCCTTGCTGTTTGATTTCTTGCAATTGAGTGTCTCTCATACTAGGTATTTTTATCCAAGTGCAGTAGGTACTTTATATCTCACACACTCTTCCTTGTTTAGCCAACAAGTAGTCCAAAGAGACCCTATTAACTAAAATATCTTTAGCAAGATAATTTAAAGAAGTTTGTTGGGCATTATAGCCTTTGCAATAGAGTCAGCCATAGTAGCTAATGTTTGAGACATATTTGTCATTATCACCTCATTTACATTTAGGCCAAGAAAGGAAAGGGGCATTCTACCCAAAGATGCCCATTTAGGGAGATTTATGCCTCCTGGCAAATCCCTCGTTATTCTATAATGCAAATTAAAAGATGTTGACCAATGTCTGGTTTCCCATCAGTTATGGGATGACAATGGCACTGTTGGAATCCCTAATCCACATTGACTTCTAATTTCTCACTTACTGAGACATGAGTTGCTCATTCTTGTGGTTGATCATAAAATCTTCCACAGATAAAAATACATCCTGGAGGGGCACAACAGACAGTTCCTTGCGGGATGACTTTTGTGTCAGAAGAAAAGCACTAGCTCTATTTATCCAAGGCTCCATGATGGAATTGTTGCATAGTTGAAGACTACCCAAAATTAGGAGAGTCAGGTTATGAAGGTGGCTACAAACTGTCAAATTATCTTAGGCATTTTTTTTTTATTCAGTTCCTGGAAAAATTTAACTACAAAAACCCTCACTATAATTTTTGCCTACTGTTAGATTTAAACAAGGGATCTGAACATAGGACTCTAAAAGCACAACCCTGTAGAAAAAGCCAGATGTGCAATTCCAACAGGCACTAGGAATATCAGTAAAATCTGTTAGAGGGTGAGCTGGAGGATCTCTTAAAATTATTATTAGAGATTTAAGTTTAGCATGACATATCCAAGATTCAGTTATCTTTCCAACTGACGTTGTGGATTGTGAAATCCTGATCATAGCATTATTCTGCTACTCATAAACAGAAAGAACACACAGTAAAAAGAGGGGAAAAAACAAAGATTTCATGATGACACTAAAAATAAGTCTTGATTTGTGATCATGGGAAAGCTGCCCACGTCTAGAATGTCATCTGCTTTTGAGGAAAAGCCCAATTCAGTCTTACCTTGGGGTCTCCAAGGGATGTGCTGTCCCAAGAGTTTGCACAGGTCCTCTTGAGTTGACACATGTGGACTCAGGGCCTAAGGCCCTTAACTTTCGCTGTGGCATGGACACTAAGATGAACTAGGTATGATCTTTTCCAGTGGGGTTTAGGGGCAGCCTTTTTCTGGTGTCATATCCAAAAGACTCAATCTCTGGGTTTTAGATTATGAAAGGTCTGGTTGTCATCAGTTGGTGAGTTATGTAAGGCTTTTTTTTTTGC